CAGCACCCCTTGCACAGACCCGCTGCTCATCACTCGTGCTCCCTGCCAGCCCTGCCCCAGAGACAGTGAAAAACTGGGAAACCCTGCCAAGCAGCACCTGGCGGGTGTTTGCAGGCACACGGCTGGGGGGACGTGCTCCCATGCCCATGGGTGCCAGGGTGGGTGAGCGGGCAGGGGCTGGCAGAGCCACAGCCCAGGCAGGGGAGGTGCCGGCAGCACCCGCTCCCACCTTTGTCTCTGCAGCAGGAGGGAGCCCCAAGCTCTCTTCCCTGCTCACCATTCCCTGCTCCACACTCCCACTCCTGCTCCCGCTTAGCAGCAGGAAGCCGCCTGCCGACAACAGTGCTGCGACTCTGCAGTTTCCACCCCGGCGGCAGCCGGGACAGGGCGGCCCCACTTCACCCAGCTGCCAAGGGTCTCCTCCGCAGCCTCGTGTCCCACCCTTTCCTCAGGGAAAGGGCTTCCCAGCAGCCCGTCCTCGATCCTGCGAGTGTGCCGAGAATGCAAGTGCAGCCACACATCTGCCCCGCTCCCCAGCTGCCCTGCTGATGCAACTGGGTGGGCTGGGGATGCTCGGCCACCCTGCTCCTGGGTTGCTTCTATGCCTGGCAGCAGCAGCCCTTGACCCAGCCTTGCAGGGCCTCCCCGGGACCTGTTGGGCACGTAAACCAAAACAAACAGCCAGAAAAGCAGCATTAGAATATGTTGCTGAGGCAGCCCAGCCCATCAGTGGATTTGCAGGGCGTTTGCATTTCCTATCAGGAAACGTATCGGTGCATTATGGTTTCTGGCATGCGGTGCTGTGCATTAGAATGTGCAAATGATAACAAAAGGGGGTATTTTTGTCACTCTTTTTTTTTTTATAGTCTGTTGTGATTCAGCAAAAAAGTTGAGGTCTGTGGATTCAGCAGAAATTCAGGTGCTTTCAGTGTGCTGTGGGCTGGGCAGCTGGAGCGTTCCGTATTACAGGAGAGCAAGTGGGGCGAGCTGCTCTGGCTGGGCTCGGCTGCGCCCGGCTCCCTGGTCCCTTCTCTGGAGCTACATAAGGTTAAACTGGAGCTGTAAGGTCCTGGTTGGGTCTCCCCACAAAACCTCCCAAAGAGGTTTCCTACCCCATGTCCAACCCAAGGGATGTGCACAGATAGACACCTCTTATCCGGGTGTTCCTAGAAAAAATGCAAGCGGACAAATCAGCTTGGGTCAGATCCGCAGGTACAGCATGTGTAAGCACGTGGTGGCATGATGGCAATTACGGTTCTGAGCATGTCTGGCCTCTGCAGCCAGTGAATTAGGGGAAGAAGCCATTTCTTTATCTATTTGTGTACCTATCCCCTTCCTGCAGCTGTACTGAGTGTGCAGATGAGTCCCTGACCCAATGCACTTGCAAATAACCTTGGGGTTGGCCAGGCAAACAAGGATGTTGGGGACGCCCAGGAGGGCACTGATGACAGGAGGGACCAGCCTCAGCTGCCCAGCACTGCACGTCCTGCTGTGGGACAGCCTCGTGCTCTGCATTTACATTACAGTTGTGCCCCAGGTCTCCTGGGGCTCTCCCAAAAACAGAGCCCCTCGCTTATGCAAAGCCCACAGCTAAGCACTGTGCTTAGTTTTCCAGGTAAATGGGGGGCAGCTGCATCTTTTTCGGCACCTCTCCATCCCTCCTGTCATGGGGTGGCCGGGTGGCTGCGCTGGGGGAGCCCCTGCCCACTGCCATTGCTCCTCGGCACGCCACGGGCACCGCGCAGCCCTGGAGCGCGCTGTAAATAGTCGGAAACAATGAATGGATTTCCCCTTCCTTTCCATGTGTGCTTTAGATTTTTGGCCGGATACGGCATGGGCTTGAGACACACCAAAACATGAGGCTCGCTGCCTGGCAGCCCTGGCTTTCACGTGGGAACAGCTCAGTTTGTGAAGCAGTGTGAGGTCTGGTGGGTGAAGCTTACAAAGATTTCCTGGGGAACGCCTTTCGTTTGCCAGGAGAAGAGCCCAGAGCCCACCGGAGGCCAGGGCAGCCTCGCAGGAGCGCTGAGTGTGGGACCCCTTGGAGCTGGGGGGGCAATGGGGCAATGCTGTGCTGTGTCCGTGCTGGTGCCTATGCCGGCACTGTACATGGGAAAGCGCTGAGGGAAAGCTGGGCTTTCTCCTGCTTTCTCCTTCCTCCCAGACATGGAGGGTTTTCTCCCTCAGCAGCAGCCCTCCTCCCATGCAGGCTGGCTGGCTTTTCGTCACGCTGCCTGTGCTCCTGCTCAGCCCCTTTCAGCCTGGAGAGTGTCCCCATGACAGGCCACTGCAGGGGTGCGTCAGGTCCCGGCACAATGTGGAGCCCGGGCGGGGCTGTACCCCAGCACCCCGGCTCATGGCGGTGGGAAGCCAAGGTGTCACAAGGTGTGTGCAGCCTCAGCATCACCGCACGCCGCTCGCCAGGGGACAGCCCGCCTGGGGCAGCTCCTGCCGGCTCCTGGAGTCAGGGCCGTCTCCAAACAATGGGTGGA